TGATTGCAATGCTACTGAAATGCGCCGTGAATTGAGAAAAAAGTAGCGTATGCAGCCCCGTTGTATGTACCGTTAGCAATCAGGAATAGTCGCTAGCAAACAAAAACTTGCTCAAACAATGCACGCAGTATATGTCGAAACATCAGCTTGACATTCCATTTCGATCTCGGCGGTTCTACCGAGAAAGGTACAATTGATGAACGGCAATTTCCAAATGGACACAGCTTTTTCGCGAAGTTTGCACTATTCATGTCTATATCTGACAGAAAGCGAAGAGAGAACATTGAAAAATATTCGAGGAATTTTATTAAAGTGAAAGATTACGCGAGACTATACCTCTCGACTGATCGCGCTTAAAATTTAATCAAGGTAAGATACGTGTCCGTAAGAAAGTTGTGCACGCACGCGCGCATTGTAGAAAATCTTAATCCGGTTGCATAATCCGGCGATTATCTATGGGGATTGCTCCTACTGACAGATTCCCACCGGCATCCGTATCCGTAAACCTTCCTTCCGTATCCGGACGAAGTTTCGGCAGACATCCAAGCCGGTAGGGGCGGCGCGGGCGGGGGAAGGCGCCATCAGCAAAATGTTCCCTCTAATTGAAAACGGACCTATTCCACCGACGCTCATACCCGGCGCCGAAAGCTGCCGTTAGATTGCACGAGATTAGTTCAGATTATTCAAGATCAGACGGGATTAGAGTCGTCCCCGTATTAGGCGACGTTAGATAGGAACACCGGCTACCGGTGTTACCCGTTAGCGACCCGTTCGCTTAACGTTATACGGCTATTTCGCTTACCGTGTGCTGCTACCGGGATCTCTTAATTACTTAAAAACTGCGATTACAACAACATCAAGTTAACAACCCGATTGTTCCTACACTTTCATCATTCTCGTCGACGAGATACTCTCGATACTTTAAAAATTGCTGACAGATATAACGTTAATGCAACGCGCAAACTATTGTAACGAATTTTAAACTTCTCGAGTCAGAACTGGACAACTGGAATTCTATCTGCCAGCGAGCGAGAATTTTCGCTTCTTCGAGATGGAACTTAGCGAGTCGCGAGGATGGTGCAATCTGTGCGCCCGGAACTTGTCCTCGGAACCGGCAACGAAAAATTCGCGACAGTGCCGATAAGCGAATTTAACCAAGCGTCAAACATCTGACGGGGCGAAATAGAATTGAATCGTGAGAGCGCTTGAAGACGAGTTTCGCTCTCCCGAGCGCGTGACGTTCCTTCCATACGTTCTCTCGGAGATTCTTTTCACTTATCTGTCATTTCCTCCGATTGTCAATTCATTGCTCTACGTAGAGCGCATTTAATACTAATAGATCTGTAATAGACTAAATGTTAAATAATTTATTTCTTAATTATGTAAATGAAACATAACGCCGTAACACAGATAAATTGCGTGAACGGCTTTCGGTGATGAATTAATCAGGCATAACACCGAATGCAACGAAAAATCTATTTACGCTCCACCACTTCGCCACCATCCTGCAAAATGGTTTAATCTTAAAACCGCTAGTCTTCTGAGCAGCAGCAGGTCGACACGCAAACCGTTTCAAAACTCCATTTTAATATCCTCGTTACATTCCTTGGTAGCTTTTTCTCTCACGGGGCGACTCTTTTTTGCGTACCTTTTCGAGCCGCTTTGAGGGGTCTAATAGAAAAATCCAGACGCGGATAAGAGAGAAACGGCATGGCGGAGGAGGGAAAAAAGTTACCAAGTCGACTACGACAAGAAAAACGGGAGACGAGGAGTCGAGAGAGTGAATCTAATAATTCAGTCAGGTACAGGGGTAGGTGGGTGTATCGCGTAATATCTACCTATACGACGCGCACCTACATGGTATCTACAGGTACACATACACGCGTCCTATCTGCCGTTCTGTCTGCATCCTTCGTGCCCCGCGGCGAATCCCTTTCGCGCACACATCATCCAACATCCCCTTTTTCCCTCAGACTCGTGCAAACTGGCAGAGAACTAGCTAAATAGCCGGCAACGTGTAGAAAATTAAGCCATTCTCGAAACGAGTTGGCGGTATGAAAAGTGTAAGGGGGCCGTCGCTGCTTAAGTAAAACTATTACATTGTCTAACTAAGCTGTTATAATGTGAAAACGTAGCGGCGAAAAAAGCGTTTTAAACGCTAAATGTAAGTGCAAACCATTGTACAAAGATACACATATATCTACACTAACATTAAAAATAATAATTAAAAAAAGCATTTATCTCAAGAAAACATGTGTTAAAAAATTAAACCATTCCCGAATCGAGTCGACGACATGAAAATTGTAAGGGAAATCATCGCTCCTTAAGTAAAACTGTTACGTTGCGTAATTACTGTCATAGTATAAAAACGCAGCGGAGAAGGAAACGTTTTAAACGCTAAATACAAGTGCAAACCATCACATAAAGATACACATATATCTACATTAACATTTAAAATAGTAATTAAAAAAGTTTATCTCAAGAAGGTATGTGTTAGAAAATTAAGCCATCTCGAATCGAATCAGTGCGCCGCGGCGGCATGAAAAGTAAGAGATCGTCGCTGCTTATAAGTATGACTATTATATCGCTTAAGTTGTCGTTATATGAAAACGCAATGGAAAAAGAACGAATAAAAAATATTAAATGCAACTTTGTATTGAAATGTTAATTAAATCTTACATAACGTTAAGCAAGCCGTACTCAAAGTCCATTTTTTCTTTGTTTCTTATTAATTATTTAAATGCAAACGGTTGTATAAGACATACATGTATCTACATTAACATTTTAAATAATAATGGAAAGTTTATCTCAATAAAATATGTATATTAGAACAGAAAATAAAATCTTTATTTCGATAGCGAGACGCGAATAATAAATTTCAGATGATAGACAATTATTCTTATCTTTTGTCGTTTCGTTTTGCGAGAAGCGATCTCGTCTCTTCATCAGCCAAACTGAATATTCTCTTCAAATTCTAATCACCATGATCACTATTACGCAATTAGAGATGCGCTTCTGCGTTCTTATGATTATTAATGAGCATATACATATACCCGTATATACGGCGTTGAATATACAACGAGAGCTTTAACATTTGCGCCGGAATATATTATACTTAAACCGTGGTGTGCGACGCGTGCTCTTTCAAGAAATTCGTCCCAGGATTAACGATACACACAAGTGGCGAGGTATACGCGAGGATACGTTGATAATATAGCGCATGCGGTGTGGTAGAATCTCCTTCTTCCTTGCGTTCGGCGCTCTGCGAAGTAAGTAAATCCGCATTTTTTCCCTTTAAAGGACTTCCGCTCTCTCGTGCACGGTAATCCTTTACAACAGCAAGGATAGCGCGTACGTTGGTCCAACAAGAAGCGATAACGACGATAACAGCGACGACGACGACGACGACGACTACGACTACGACTATGGATTCTCGCGCGCATCCTTCCCGATCTTCCATAACGAGATACGATAGTCGTAAACAAACTTTACTAAACCGAAACGATCGCGGGGAAGGCCGGGAAAATGGTTTATATCTCGAGCGTAAACGTTAAGTTACGTCACCGAGTGCATAGACGTAACTGCGACTACGAAAACTCTCCTGACGTGCGAAAAACTGTCAGGAGGAAAGATTGTGTGATATACGTAAATGCTTTCCCTCGCATCAAAATAGCCTCACAAATACGATTATAGAAATCGAGAATAAATAATCTCCGCGGAAGTCATATGCGCCCAAAGCAAGCCACGGAATCGTTTATCTCTATGTACACAAGATGTGTCAGAAAGTCCGACTAATATTTTAGAGATAGATCTGACAAAGCTCGAGCATTTATTTGTAAAAATATTATAGAAAGCTAATAATTTTCAAGTTGAAGGCTATCAGCAGTGAACAACTCTGAGAAAATAAAACTTTAACTCGCAATAGGTTTTAATTAAGGTATCTCCTTTCTCTCTCTTTTCTCTAATATTAACATTTTTAGAGAATTATGTCGTCTTTCGATATTTTTATTATGAAAAAATCGACTCCAGATCCGTCGAAGAATCTATCCCCGAAGATATTCGCGCATTTTTATAGCTTCCTTATGTATTAGACGCGCACGTGTTCTCGATATCTCTTCACGGTATACTCGAAAGTCTCATGCACTCGAAGCCGACACCTATGACACGCGATGCAACTGCGGTAACACGATAAAATGTACCTACGCGCCGCAACCTGGCGCCATAGAGCCGCGTCGATGTACCCTGAAATCGCCCGATCGTTAGCATTTTCATCCCACACACTCGGTGAAGTTTCACTATATATAGATACTTTTTATTGTCAGCTATTGTATCCGCGATTCGAGTTAACTGCCGAACGTTCAGAACGTTCACGGGATTGTTCCAGATAACCGTAAAAAAAAAACTGACGCGTTTTAGCTCGCAAAGCGCAATAGCGCCATACTTAATCGGATTATTTGCGTAGAGGATATAGCTCCTTGGGATTAGGGGATGAACGAGAGAGTCAAATGTTGTCTTACGGAACAACACCACATACGAGAGCGGTGCTATTGTCTTCGAGACATCACATGTTGATGTGTGAAAAACGAGATTTCGTATTCATCTCGTAATACAATTTCCTTTTAAGCCGAAAAGCCGAAAAGAAGTTTTGATATAAATAAAAGTTACTTCTTTCATTATCTAATTTTTTTATACCGAAGAAAAAATATATAGAGGGAAAATATGTTACAAATAATTAAATAACAGAAATGCTTGACAGAATGTAATGAAATAGAAAACAAAATGTATTTGCCTGTAATATTAGCTTAATTACTTTGCCTGTAATAATAGCTCAATCAATTATTTGATATATTCAGATTTCATGGAATATTATTATCTCGTGAAGCATCGATATAAAAAAGTAGGATTTTAAAATTATCTTTCGATTAATTTAAAAGTACATTATATATTACGTTTCTCATCACCGAATTCATCGTAACGACCAGAAAGACAACAGTATATAATTTTATAATTCTCTTATATTTTATTATTTCACAACACCATCTATACACTATATTTTATACATCTATCAGTAAAAACATTACAATATAAAGATAACTCTGTGTCTTAAATTAAACGTTGACATTTCGACTCTTAACTGACATCGGCAGTTTCATCTTGTAGTTTTAAAAGTTAAAATACATTTAAAAAAATCTTATACACTTGAAATATATATTTTTTATTTATATTTATATAAATTATATATATTCCTCTTTATACGTTTTTTATTGCAAGCTTTCTTAAGCATGAACAATAAAATAAAATTTTATTTAAGTCGTTATTAGAACAAAAATCTGAAAAAAGCATATACCATGTCAGTTAAAAGAGCGAATGAGAGCATGTTATCTAAGGATCAATCGGATAAAACGTTGTCAACGGTGATATTTATTGAGCAATCGTTGTCGCTGTTGAGCTTACACAACGCGCGAGCAAATGGAGACCACATCCGCGCATACGTGCCTGCAAATCTCGTGACATCTCGTCCAACATAATTAATCCTGTAAGTTCGTAACGTAAAGCAAATATGGCGATATTAAGGTAAAGACATAGCGCGCATCCTGCGAAGCGGCTTGATTATATTGCTAAATGAAACGCGTGCATTACGCCTCGGGATGTCACACGTATATCGTCGATCCTTTGACTCGTTGGGCGCGATGTGTTTCGACGATGTAAAATTATTACTTTCCATTCACTCCATATTTGCTATTCTCCACTCGATTATACACGGTAGTATCTCAAATTCTTTTTATTTCCCGTTATCTACAAATTATTTCAAGTCGACTTAATTACGTGAAAGTGTCTAGTCTAATCGTACCTTAAATTAAAATTCGGCCAAAGTATTACCTTCTGAAAATTTTTATTGTCTATTTTCATCCTAATCTTCAATTCATAAAGTTTTCTAAGCCGTAAAAATTCTATAATTAAAAGATTATTGGTGCCAGTTTTTGTTAGGAAAAAAAATTAACTTGGATATTAGATAAAGAATCCATCGATCGAGAAGGAACTGCGACTTGAGACATCTCATACATAAATTACAATTCGCGTCTTCCTTCTCTCAATACAAATCCGAAACGATACGCTACGGTGATAGTTTATGCCATTTGTTTATTTTACGTTCGGGGTGCTACGCCAGTAGCGTCAAGCGGAGTATCGATTTTGGATTTAAACGCCACCCTCTTAAGCCCCAGACAGCTAACGAGGTACGCTCACTTAAGATCCCCTGCCCTCGTTTTCCCGCTCGTCGTGCGCGAGTACGTGCCGCGAAACTCACGACGAGATATTTATTCCGCGATCCCCGCATGGCGGGTCTCTGATGACTTTGGGAAATCGTGAGTGGAAGTAACAAGAGCTCTCGCGGTTGATTCCGTCTAGCCGAATCGCTGAACCGGAAGGTTCGATAAGTAGCGCGAATCCGCCGATCGCGGTTACTCGATCTGGCATCTGTTCTCTCGAGCATACCGGAGCACTCCATCGTTGCGCTTAATACGGTTTCACTATTGTTCCCGCTCCGAAGGATAAGATCGACCAGCCTTCGGCAAAAAATTTCTATCCATTCTGCGTAAACGTGCTTTAGAATATTCGAATGTATTAATACTTCTTAAATTTATGTAACATATAAATGGAATATCATTAAATAGAAAAGTGATTCCTTAAGTCAGATTCATATAAAATTAAGTGTAAAACTGAGAGAGAAAAATTACAAGGATCTATATGATACACTGTAACGTTACATGAAATAATAGTAGAAGATAAAGAAAGAAACGTTAGACGGGCGAATTCTTCGTTGACTTGTTCGATCATGTGTGAAACATTTCGAATCTATTAACTACATTACGTGATGAGCACTGACAGTAGTCAGAGGCCTAATTCTACTCTGGGTACCTCGATGTTGAGCCTAAGGACGAACGTGAACGACGGAGGAGTCTTAAGTCAATGAGACCCCTCGATGAGCCTTGCGTCAGTTAGTGTTCTTCATCATTTTCAACGGATCTCGCATGTAACGAGCGAACACCTCCTTCTTGAACGTCTCGAATTGCTTTCTGTTGGCACTGTTTTGACGCTCGCGCCAAGCGGGCCTGGTCTTCCTGGTCTGCAGTCCCCAGTGGACCGTAAATACCGGCGATAGCACCTTGAACTGATAACCCGTCACGTACATCTCGTAAACCTGCAAGAAAAACGAGCGGCCCGGTGTTACACGAGACAAATTTACCGTTTGAAATAAAATTAACGTTGAAAATTGAAATATATATATCGCACCGAGAGAGAACCGAACGCGGTTTAATCGATCGTCCACGTTTAGACATTAGTCGACTTAATTTATCCGTTGTCCAATTACATCTCGACCGAAAGCAACATTGGGAAAACAAGAATTCGTCATGTGGTCGTGGAGCTGCGAGGTGTGTGCGGTGGCGGGATTCGTTCGCCAATCCAGTTTCCTATATATACGGGCGAGACCCGCGCGTTCCGGAACAGCAACAACGGAGAAATTCTGCGTCGATCTGCGGCAACTGCGGGCGGAGGAGACGAACGGCGGAACGAGTGCGCCCGGATTCTTTACGAGCCCGCTTCGAGCTTCGAAGCCCCGAGTGTTTCTGGGTTCGAAACTCCGACGGGCGGAGATTCCGCCGTCGCCGCCGCGCGCGCGACGTAATAAACGCGGAGCGTCTACGTAAAGCCGCCGTGCACCTGCTGCGCATCTGCGTGCGCGTGCATGTGTGCGAAACGAGCGACATGCATGCCCGTCATTCCTGTGGAATACGACCCGGGCCGGGGGAATGACGTTTAGGTCGGCGCAAACGACAATCTTAATACGAGCACGTGTCGCAATGCGTCTCGCCTGTGAATATGTGCGCGAGAATACTCGGTGATATATCGGTATTGTCTCTTATAAGGGACGTTCGATAGTAGAGACACGTTTGATGAACGGGGCTTTATTACCTGTCGAGAATCGAGATGGCTCTCCTTTATCCAAAATATCGATTTAGTGTGCAAGAATGCACAATCGCGAATAAATAAAATCACATTATCCTCTGATTAATTTTAGACGATCTTTAATATCTTTCATCACAATTTTTCTGAAAAATCTTTCATCAAAGTTTCTGAAAATAAGAGAAAAGCTGAAGCAGTCAAATTATTAGAGGAGAAATTATTACTTTAGTAAGGGAATTGGTTTATAAAGTCGTATAACAAATGCTAGAGCTACGCGCGCATAAAAAGTGATAGAACTTTGGCATAGGTAGATGTTGCATTGTGTCGAGACTTATTTCGTCCAAATAGATCTTTACGACGTATCAGACACCGACGAGTCATACGACCGGCGAACGTATTTCCGCGAAAGTATGACATTGCGAGATTTCCGGATGAGCGCGAGTCCCGCGCCAAACTTTCGAACGTGCGTTCCATTTCGACGGAAGTGGCTTTCGGAACATGCCGCTGATATTCGTCCGGATAGTGACATCTTCGCGGGAAGCCCTGTGTTTCCGACAGCGTAAGCAGCGCGACAGCAAGGAGAAAAGCGAATGGCGTCGTAATCTCGCCCTCCTCGGTTTGCCATCCGGGACAAGCCAGACAGACCTAACGGACGAGATCCGGTCCGCCCGTTCTCCTCCGGTCTGAATACGTCTTCGTGAATAATCGCACGTAACAATGTACGGCGAATATGTCTGTGTATGTTCTGTTCACCCAACCGAGATGCATCCTCGTCGGAAACGATTGACCTCGTATCAAGTGACCCTTCTCCGCCTCCCAATTTAACGCGTAACGACGCATCTTGCTGTCGAGAGCTACGTACGGCACAAGTACCGTAAAGTCGCTTCGATTTGCTTTCTTATTTTATGTTGACAGATATTACTCTAAGAACTATACTCGGTGCTTATTATAAAATAATGAATCATGATTATTTATAAGATTCTACCTGCTAAGATTCTACTTTTTATATTTACTTCAATTAACTAGTTAATAATTTCACAGTTTTTTTTATCTATAGAGATCTAATAATAATTGAAGAGATGTATAAGAATGTCGAATTATATTAATATCATTATCAATATCAATATCATTATTCATTGTAAGTACAAAACGATCAAAGTATATTACGTTTGTTATAGGTATATTATGTCGAACGTACTAATATCATTATTCATCGTGAGTACAAAGCGATCACAATATATCACGTTAATTCAAAGAGGCAGAATGTACAGCGGACTTAGCACTAAATTAGATCCTCATCGCATTAGAAACTAAATGACAGATCAAAATTGGAACACATTGAGCGGATGACAAATAATGGTATTAATTGGATAATAATAGGACAGACTAAGCGGGGATATTGTTAGTTAACGCGACGAAGCAGTAACCCACGAGGATAGCAGTGCACGCGGATTACATCGTCGGATGAAATTGATAGACAGAATCTAATCTGCCGTGTTCTAGATCTTGGAGACGTGGCTCCGTGAATAATTATACGTAACGACGGCGCGACATGCGTGTGACAGGCGTCGCGACGCCCCGGGATTGTCTCCGCAGTACGTGTCGCAATGGATGCACACAATTCGTCACGTTACTACAGTGCTGACACTGCCAAAACATATACGCCGCCGCGCGCCGTCGCGCGATTGGCGGGACCGATTCTCATTTATAACCCCCATCGATTTCCTTCCTTGCTCGAGTCCGATCCCGTCACAATTGCCATGAAAACTTCTAACATGATACGCCGCGAACCTGACAGAAGGGTGACGGAACGCTCGTGTAACGTAACGAGGTAGTGCGTAACGAGAATCGAAATTGTATTCTCGGAAACATTTCGAATGATTAATATTAATGAGGAATTATCAATCGTTCCGCCTGTTGATGAGAATTTCACTGTAGGAATATAATTATAACAAATATGATTGGAATAATGTGTAAAAATAATATTTTCTCGATAAAAGATACATACGAGAACAATATACGTTTAAGGATGGAAATTCCACCGAGGTACGACAGCGTAATAATGGCGAGAAAAAAGTTGGAGATAAAAACGTAATTAGGGCGCCACGTTTTCAAGAGCACGCGATTTGAATGAGAAATGATACAAGTCTGATCCGTGATGGTTTCAACACGAAATGCATGACATTCCCGCATGAATTATACGACTAACAAGCTAGCGCAGCCCAGCGCGCGGTGGACACCGCTGCATAATTATCCGTCTTAATTGGACAGATAATAAATTCCTTTCAGTTTCGCGCGCAGATCACATTCTTGCGGAGGCGGCTAAAGTGCACATCTCGCGCAAGCCCCGAGTTGCGGAGAGAGAGAGAGAGAGAGGACGGCCAACTGTTTGTCGAGGGTTTCCCGGGGAACAGATTGGATTAAACAACACGGGCAGGCTGACGTATCTTCTTAATTAACAAACCCCGCGGCCTCACATTCGTTACAGAGTCGCGGGGCGTAATGATGTTTGCTGAACTTATGCGCGCCATGATACCGCTCGCGAATGCATACCAGTACGTCGTGCTGTGGCGCGCGCTTTCTGTTTGCACGCGAAACTTTCGTCATCGCGACGATTATTGGGTAATGCATAATGTACAACGGCCACCGCGGGCATTAATGGGCGTATAGTACGCGATAGTGCGCGCCGACGTAAGCTACAATACGAAAACGGAGGGAAAACGCGCGACGCGAGCTCGACGCTCGACGTGCTTTCCGTAAAACTTGCTCCCCTGGAATTCCGCGACGCGAACCTTTCGAACCACCGCGCGTAATATCGACGACTAACCGTCGTAGCCACGTAGAAAACATTCCGCGAATCGCGAACGCGCGATAACGCATAATGCACGTCAAAGCTCCCGGGAGGATGCGAAAATAGTGCGCGGCAAAGCGGCCCGTTGAAACTTTTCTGCGGCGGGATGAACAATTTGCGGAACTCGACGCGCGATCTCTCTTCCAACGCGGCTCAAAGGACTCAAAGGGCGGTCGCGACGGTACCGTATGTGCGTAAAAAAATAAATAATGAGAGAGTACACGGGAGGCGAAGGAGAAGTATTATGCAAGAAGAAGCAGGGGGAATATATTATCCACATAAATCTATCTTCTGTTCTGTGTGTTTCATAATGGCCCTTTTAACAAGTATGAGAAGAACGTTTAGCTCTTCCTCTCGAAATACTCGTTACTCTTCATGCATCTTTTTTATGAACGAAATTAATAATTAGGAAGTAAAAGGAACAAAAAAAGAATGTAACTAATTTTTATTGCTAATGTAAAAAAGCAATAAGTTTCATAGCTATAAAAGATGCAAGAAAAGTGAGATAGAAAATAGTACATGCAAATGGTAAAGCACCGGAAACCTGCTGCTAAAAGCCAGTAACAAATAGCAAAACTTGAGAAAATGAGCTACTATGTACATATTGTACATAGTACAAACATTTACTATGTTACCTATTCTATCGTATAAATTTATACCGTTATAATGATGCAGAGAGAAATCGTGTTTTTAAGACTAGAGATGATATACCGCTTGTCGCTTTAATAGAGAGATAAGGCAACCGTTTGCAGCTTTCGAACGATAACGCAGAATATTGCAGTGAGTCACTAACGCGGCGCGGTTTGTATTTGCGTTAATCGTGAGTATGCGTTTCCGTGTATGCATCTGCATAACACGTCAGATAATCGGGCTACATACTTATAAGTACGTGCGATTGCATACAGAGAACGTATTACCGGCATTACCGCTATTATATTTTACAATCACGATGAATAAAATATCTTACATCTAAATAGTACGCAATTAATTCTGAAATAACAAATTCTTATTTCAGAAAAAAAATAAAAATGATTTATTCCACATGCATCTTTTATATTATAAAATCAATTACATTGATCCTATATATAACTCGCATAATTTTGTCCATAAAAAAAGTGTAATTTATGGCAGTCGCTCGCGTTGATTAATAAACTCATAACGTGCCTCGTAACTTTTATTTGACATTTTATTTATTTCACGTCGGAGGCATCGCCACGTCCGGACCCAAAGAGGTACGTTCAAACACACGGCAGCGAGTTAAAATTTTACAACTAGCGGAAACATGAGCGCGGTACATCTCGCTCTCTCGCAAAAATGGAATTGCATGTCGCGCGGACGACAAGCTTACGTTCCTGGTACCTGGGGGAAATGCACTCGGGTTAATT